AATTCGGCAGGGAGGATCTGTTGCACAAGCGCCTGTGGGGACCAGTTTTGTTGCTCCTGTTGGACACAGTGGGATCTGGTCATTTGGTGTCAATGCTATGTCAGGTATAGTTACCTTACCCTCTCTCTGCCAAGACATTTTGAATAAGTTATGAGAGTTTGCCATTAAAGCTTAATTCATCCAGGCAATGGTGGCGAATGCCTTTAATCCCAGCACTTGGGTGGATCTCAGTTAATTCAAGGCTAGCCTGATCCACAAAGCAAGTTCCAGGACACAGAGAAGCCCTGTCTCGAAAAAAACTAAACCAAACAGACAAACAAAAGCAATTTAATTTCCTAGGGGTAGGGGAAGAGGGGCTAGAGAGAAGACTGTGGTAAACAGCACTTGTTGCTCTTGCAGAGGACCTAGGTTCAGTTCTAAGCACCCAAATGGCAGTTCACAGCTGCCTATACCTTGTTCCAGGGCATCTGATACCTCTTCAGACCTCTATGGGCTCCTGCATGTAGGTGGTACACACACATACACTCAGGCATGCATATAGACACAAATTTTTTTCTCCATAAAACTGAATTCCTAAGCTTGTGTGTATTGATACATACCTGTAATTCCATCACTCCAGAGCCTTAGACATGAGAATCACCATTCCCAGATCAGCGTGAGTTACACAGGGAGTTCAGGGTCCAGTCTGAGCCGTTGCACAGTGAGGCCTTCTCTTAACAAAACCAGAGAGTGCTGATATAGCCCTAAAATAGACCACTCACTCACCTTGCATACTCAAAGCTATGGATTGGCTTTCTAATACTACACAGAAGCAAAATGTTTTAGTTTCTAATGGGCACACAGTCACAACATTAAGAAGAAAAATCCTTAGTTTCTATATTTAACATTCAATTTTAATTTTCTTTTTTTGTTGTTGTGTTTTGGTTTTTTTCTTTTCAAGACAGGGTTTCTTTGTACAGCCCTAGCTGTTCTGGAACTTGCTCTGTAGACCAGGCTAGCCTTGAACTCACTGAGATCTGTCTCGCTCTGCCTAACAAGTGCTGGGATTAAAGGCATGTACCACCACCGCCCAGTTTATCTGAGCAAAAACTAAGCACTATTTTTAATTCTTTTTTTCCAGAAGGTTTATCAGGTTGGTCACAATCTATGATAGGGAACCATCCAATGCATCAACAATTATCAGACCCAAGCACATTCTCCCAGCATCAACCAATGGAGAGAGATGATTCTGGAATGGTAGCTCCCTCTAACATTTTTCACCAGCCTATGGTAAGTGGCTTTGTGGGTTTTTCTAAAGTGAGTTGACATGCATTGTTGCCAGCCACTGTAGTCCCTTATTAAGGAATAGTTTGTGTGGAAATCACCCTTTTGCTTCTGTGACTGTCAGATCTTTTGTTCAGTTTTAAGAATGGGTACTGTTATCTTCCAGTAATTTGCCCTCAGTTGTCCTGACTCATTTTTGTTGTTGTTGTTGTTGTTTAGTTTTTTGTTTTGTTTTATTTTGTTTTTTAAAGACCAGAGAGATTTGATTGAATTTTGCTTTGCTTTCTGTGCCACACATTTGAGGGAGGTCCCAACCCACTAAAGAATTGGCTATCAGATTCAGTACTCTTTTTGTGCTCTTAGGGTTTCCTAGCTGTCATATAGCCAGATTATAGCTGTAAATGCCTATACAAAATTACGCTTATCTTTTTTTGAGATAGTGTCATACCATGTAGCCCTGGGTGGCCTGAATAAAGAGTATAAAGAGATGCCGGGCGTTGGTGGCTCACGCCTTTAATCCCAGCACTCGGGAGGCAGAGGCAGGCAGTTCGAGACCAGCCTGGTCTAGGTTTCAGCTGGTATTAATGGAATCATCTGTTATTGCATGATGAAGACTTCTCTTTGTGCTGTTTCAGGGGCTGCCGATTTCCATGTATGGTGGCACCATCATACCCTCTCATCCTCAGCTTGCTGATGTTCCAGGGGGCCCACTGTTCAATGGACTTCACAACCCAGATCCTGCTTGGAATCCTATGATAAAAGTTATCCAGAATTCAACTGAATGCACTGATGCCCAGCAGGTAAAACTGGCTTAAAGCTCTTCCAATTTGCAGATTTGCCATGTGACTCTGAATTTGATGGGAAATGTAAGTCTGAGTAATGACTGTTAATCTGAATTAAGTTTTTTCATTATCAAGATGATGCTACTAAACATTTTATTTCTTATATGTGTATTCTTCCTAGGCAGAAACAGTGCATTGCCATTGAATTTATATATTCATTTCACAAATATGTAAAGATTCCTAATTAGAAATTCCAATTTTTCCTCCCCCTTTTCAGATTTGGCCTGGCACGTGGGCACCTCATATTGGAAACATGCATCTCAAATATGTCAACTAAGTTAGAAGGTCTTTACTCTTTAGCCTTGTTTGGGAAACCTATGACTTTGGAAGAACTCTGGGGTTTTTGTTTTTTTGTTTTTTTTTTCTTGTTTTGTTTTTTTAATGTGCCTAACTAAAATATTTTCTGAGACTTTAGCAGTGGAAATTTGATTGCCCATTGTGTAAGAGCAAATTGATTTCCTATCCACCTGAGTATGTTCTTTGGTTAGTTTAGCCATTTTTGACTTGAGATAAGATGAACCTAGTGCTTTTGGCTAAACATACTGAATGCTACTTGTATGCAGAAGAGAATTAGATGATTACATGTTTCAACTTTTTAGGGTGGTAAATACATGTATAATTGTTTACATACTTAAAAGAAAAATATGAGTAAATTTTCTTGTCATATAGCGGCTCTACTTAATGTAGCCTGTATTAATGTGAAATATTTACCAGAATATTCAATAAAAAAAAATGAACGGTGTTTAGAAGTGGGGTGTGATCCTTTCAGTGGTCATGAAGATTCCAGCCAATCCACAGTCAAACTAAAGTAGATTGCTAATGCTGTATTTATTTGTAACGTGCTTTTCACATTTAACACTGTAGAGTCTATTCTTGAACAGCCATAAAAAGTGCTGCTAAAGCTTGTTAGATATTCTCCTGTCTCCCACCTCATTAAATATGAGGATGGTCAAGCCCTTACAGTTGGTCTTAGGTGACTTTAGCGAATAGGCCACTTGGTAAGTTTTGCTCTTTATTGGATCATGACTCTGTCAGTAAGGACCTTAGGCTTTACATTGAACAGATTTAGGGATACCTAGATCATTCACTTTGGGTTCCTTTTGTGCTTCTTGGCTTTTGAGTCGGGACATAAAAAGTGGGTGGAGGGGTGACTTCTGTTAATCAGTTATATTGATGAATAGCTGAGTAATATTTATAAATAGGTGACTGTGTTCAGTTCCATGACTTCAAAGATGAGAGGCCTGTATGCTAAACAAATTAATCACAAAAACACTGGAATAGGTTGGCCAAACTATACACTGTGCCAAGAATCTGATACAACAGAGAAAAGAAACTCTCCTATTGAAACGTATCATCAGTTGTGTTTTAATGTAGTTCAATATCCCAGCTTTATAAATAGTATTTAAAAGAAAACAGTATTTTGGGCACTGAGAGAAAGCAAAAGAGAAATGCGCGTACACACACACATACAAGCAACAACTAAGAGCTGAGAATCATATAAGCAGCACTTTCCTATTCTAAAAGCAATTAAGAATTCTTAATAATCTTTGCCTGGGTCCTAAGCCAGAAATATCCTATTAGTTCCGTGTAAGATGTAACTTGGTTCTTTGGTCTTCCATACTATTTTACATGAGAAAGCTTCCTTAAGCTCATTTCTTATTTTCTATTTTTGATGAAATTGGGAAGTTTAACTGGTGGGAAGTTTACTGCCTTTATAGTGATCATATCAAATCTTCTTGAGAGGCCATCTCATTCTAAGGCAGAATAATCGCTTAGATACCTACATATCTTACTGTTTCCTCCTATTGATAAACAGAAATAATCACTTAAAATTAGTGAAATGAATGAAGCTACTCTTGATGAAATAGAGATAGGTAATCTTAACTAAATTATTCAGTAGAACAAAACGGTGAGTTTCATTCTACATTAATTTTCTGTATAGTATTTGAATGATCTGGAGGAATCCTTAAATCTATTTCTAAACCTGGAATACAACAGAAGAAATTCTGTCTCAGGTCAGAAACTAGAATCCATAAAGAAAAAGGAAGGAGAAACCCCTAGCGAATGAGGAAGAAAGAGGAGTTGTACAGTAGGAGCTCTGGGGAGACCCTCCTCCCTTTCCTTTCATCAGCATCACCTTCCTTTCTATTTGGATCTTGGTAGCCTAATCCCAGCCCTATTTTACCTGCTATAATCTCTTCTTCCTCTTCCTGCCTCTTCCTGCCATTACTTTACTGCTATTTTACCAACTTGAACATTGGATAAAACCTAGCTCAGGTAAGAACTTGATTATTTTCAAGACATACAAGGGATGGAGGGAGGCAGTCTGGGTACAGTGGAGTGAGAGTCAAAGGACTAAATCCTATTTTCATTTCTGTCACTTACAACTCTGTAACTTTAGGTAAGTCATCTCATTTTTCTGGGCTTCACATTCCCCATCTGAACATGACATCAGTCTTCAATTAACCCAGTGGAGTCTTGTAGTTATAACATAAGATGTTCTTCTTTTTCTTGTCAGTGAAATTGGGAATACTGGAAACAAATGTTTTACAGTTCTGAGGTTTGGTTCTGATAATTGGAATTAAAAGCCTTCTAGTCTAGAAACCAATATTGATTTGGAAATTAGTGGAAGCAGAAAAAAAAAATGTTATGCAACCATAGAGAGCCCTTAAGTTTTAAAGAAATATCCTGCTAAGTAAGGCACATGTCAAACCCCATGAGAATAGCTCTTCCAAGGAATAAAACTGTATCTTCAAGGTTTCTGGATCCACCTCTTTCAAGTAGTGTTCAGTATAATAAAATTGTGATGTTTTAGAACCCTTTAAAACTGTTGTGGCTACAGTGTGCTGACTTGCCCTTTTATAGGCCAGTGTGCTTTCTTCAGTCCCTGCTCTCAAGGGGGAAATTCCATCACCTCAGCTAACCAGACCAAAGAAGAGAATTGGACAGCCAATACTAGCCTCTTCTAACCAGAGGTAAGAAATCTTAAAATTAAGCCTTATGGTTTCTGTTCCTCCTTCCGACTATAACACTACTGAACAAGAGATCTGTCTTTGGTTTTGAGTTAGCTTGTGCAAAGGGAAGAACTGGGCATGAGTTTCAAGCCAAACAGAGAGTCCAGCATAGTTTTGCACCTGTGCACTTTACAAAGTGGAAGTAGGAGGATTGGGATTTTATGCCAGCCTCAGATCCATGAAATGCTTATTTCAATACCACCTACAATTCCCCAACAAATGGAACTTTCAGGCACAGGCCACTATATGCCTGGCTTTATGACCTTTATTGGATGTGGTATTAACACACTTAAAATTTTGATACTTTAAAAACTACCTTTTCACATTCATTTCCTAAACTAGACAGTGAAGGTGAAAGACCTAGCCTGTGGTCAATTGCCAAATCACTGGGGTAAACAGAAAATGCAACATCATCACAGCCCTCACCCCGGGACAGGTCCTCTAGGAAGACAGGACCAGCTGTACTGTTTGGTAGAAATACTTCTTGCTAGTCACAGAACAAGATGTTCAGAAGCTGTTTTCCTACAGGTTTGTTTGCCTCTTCTGGGTTTACAATGTGGTCCAAAGGTCTTCAACACTAGGAAAGAGCCATGTATAACAAGTCCTACCTTTGACAGAAGGATCATTTGAGCCTAGGAGCTCAATACCAATCTGAACAAAATAGGAAGTCCTCCATATCAAAATGATAATAGTGGACATGAGCCTAGGCTTCAAGACCTAAATTAGAGGACAAGATCATGAACACATTACCTGATTTCAAACCTGTCTGTGAATATTTTTCACTTACATGGGCGATCCAGCTGTCTCTGCCTCCCCAGTGCTGGGAGAAAAGGTGTGTGCCGCCAAACCCAGCTTGTTTTGCTTTATTTTGGTTGTTTTACTGGGAATTCAAAATATTTGCTTAAGTGGTAGAGGCCTGGTATTTGCCTTATAGTTTAATTGTTGTTTTTGTTTCTGTACCAAATGGTAATTAGTGTTAATTCTGTGACATAAACTTCTGGTGCTTTATCCAGGTTTATAGGAGAAATTCAAAGAAGGAAGATAACACTTCATATGTACCTTTCTTGAAAATCTCTAGAATTTGTTTGGGTTTTGTTTTCATTTTGGCAGTGCTGGGGATCAAACCCAGGACCTCAGGCATGGTACATAAAGCACTCTACCAGCTGGGCTCCATCTTCAGCCCCTATAATTTTGTGTTGTCTCACTATGTAGATCAGGGTGGCCTCAAACTTGAGGATCTGCCTGCTTCTGCCTTCCCAGTGCTAGGACTAAAGAGTATGCCACCACATACCGCCAGACCCTTTAGTTCTATTTCTGTTTTGTTTTGTTTTCTCAGTCTGTTTTGGTGAGTCATTTTCATAATTAAATATTAGTGTACTAAATCTCTTCTTGCATTGCATCTTCTCAGATGATAGCACCCCATACTCTTGTATTTCATTTCATTTATATCTGAATAAGTAGTTTTCCCCTTGAACTTCTGACCAGTTATAACTCTTTGTAGTGCTCTATCTTGTTACTCTTGTTACTCGTTATTCATTGCTTAACATAAGATATGCCCCTTATTGTTTCCCCTTTTACAGTACCAAGATTGCCAAACAAGGAGATTGAGAGTTACCCTAGTCAATCTCCATTTTCCTTAGTTTGCCCTTGATCAGATCGATTCACCTTCCACCTTCAATTTTTTATTACATTTGTTGTGGGGGAGGGGTATGTCACCATACCTGTGTTAGAGGACTGCTTGTAGGAATTATTTCTTTTATTCCACTTCATGAAGTCCCAGAGATGGAGCTTAGATCAGGCTTGACAACAAGTGCCTTAATCTGCTGAGCCATTTCACTCCCCCCCCCCTACTTTGTCCTTCTGTGTATCTGAATTTCATCCATTTTTTGGTCTCCATTGCCACTGCTCAATGGACTCATCTTTAGTATCACCATCCTCTTTACTCCATGCCCCCAGTATTAACTATCAGGCTACTTTTTCACTTTGCCTAAACGTGAAATTGTTACAGTTATCTACAGTCTGCTGAGACTTGCAACACTTTGTATGAGACTCCAATGCCTTTTGGGGGATAATAAAATATATGTACACCTGCTACCTGGAATGTGATTCTGAAAACCTACAGCTTCTGCTGTTAATACAGGAATTGTCATATCAAGCTCAGCCAGGCATAGTGGTGCATGCCTTCAAGCAACACTCAGAGGCAAAGGCAGGCAGATCTCTGAGTTGAAAGCCAGCCTGGTCTACATACCAGCTTGAACTACACAGTAAGATACTATCTAAACAATAATAACCTAAAAAAAAAAAAAAAAAAAAGCTCACTCTTTAAGGTGAGCCTATCTTTGATGTTCCTTTCCAGAGAGCTAACAGCCAAACCTTCCTCATAATTATCTGTGTCCATCAAAGGGCAGGCTTCTGCATTCTTGATGTCTTGACTACAGCCTTCCCTGCCCCCATTCCCTAGTTTACTGCACTGAGTAGACCTGGTGTCACACTGAAAAAGCCTCTGACTTCCTGCTATGCTCAAAGGGCAGGCCATCAAGACACTTTAACCAAGTATAGCAATTTGCTACCAGGGGCACTACAAAGCTGGGCTGAAGGACCCAAAGTCTAGTCATAGTCACTTGGGTGGGATCCTATCTTCTCCTACAAGATCTGTGGGCATGTTTTCATCATAAAACATAGTTAATAAGTGCATTACTATCTGAAACTGTTGAAAGAAATGGGCACAGCCATAACTCTCAACATCCAGGAGTAACTAGCAAATAAACTTCTCAACATCTGTCAAGTCAGAGCAGATCCTCAGTGTTTCTGGGCGAGTGG